CCCTGGAAAAATTTTTCAAAAATTCTGGAATTTTTCGGGAGTTTCAGGAGTAGTGCGAACTCTGTTGCAAAGCAAGCCATTTTCCTGGTCGGAAAGTAAAACTATAAGTTTTTCTTACCTCGATCAGTTTGTCAAACAAAGAAATATCAAATCCTTCCACTATGTTTACTGGAGCATGGAACTTCCACAGATCGTCAAACTCCACTGAAATTCAACAATTGAGAGTTACCACAGTGACTGTTCCCCTTGACTTTGTTAAACGCGACCCAGTACTTTTAGAGGCAAAACCAACTTTGTGCGCAGATGAGTATAAGAATACGTTTATTCAAATAAAATTAACAAAATATATAGGATTTAGCAGTAGCTCTTCGTCCACTGTTTGCAGATCGAAATGGAATTTAGAAGTGTTGGTTTTCGCCCAGGGAGGAAAACTCGCAGAAAAATCGGCGGTCAAGACATCAAACTCAACCCACATGTGAGGCTGGGTGCAGTATTCGAACTCAGGCCATGTTCGCGGGAGGTAAGCTAGTCCAGTTCTGACCCTCTCTCAATCACGCAAACGCTATGCTCCCGAGAGCGTAGCGTTGAGTAACAGCGAGAGGGCCACTGAGCCCTCTCACAACTCTGACGCTCCACGGTCCGTGTAGTTAGCTATGGTAACAGTGAGTCCAACAGACTTGACGAAGTCCAAAGAATGTACCAGCAAGTCCTCAGGAACGCCACAGGTACACCCTTCTCTTTCAAAGGGTCTCTTTTTGGTCGAGCGTCATCAACTGGGGTAGCGGTATATGTTGTGGCCTACGCAGACGCTATTTGGGCTCGTGACACAATCGTCCTCCTCAACGAAACGTGACGAGCCCAAAGAGCGTCTGTTTAGGAGGCTATAGATGGTGATACTTTCTACTTGTCTGCTTACAGCAGGGAACATGCAAATTGACACTTGTACGATCAACCCGCTTTAAATGCCTATGGTACCACATTAACCCTGCAAAATTCAGTTTAAAAGCCTGACCTGCCATTGCCTTCAATGTGGCACCCTGAGGCACTATCTTCACTCCTCGTCTGTTTATTTTAGCGGCGCTCACTGCTGCATACCAGAAGTATAAGTTGTGCCACGGAAACAGGCCACTTGTGAAAAATGGTTCACCTAAAATAACATCAACCTGTAAAAACAATACAACGATATCAAAAATATTAAGACGGATTCCACTCAAAGCTCGTGCAATAAGTGCAAAAATTATTTACTAATAATCTTCTCACAGCACGGTAACTTTTTGGAATACTATTGAAAACATTTCAATGTAATTAATTTTTCTAGCTGACCCCGCGATTACATACCCAAGCATTCTCGAGAAATTTAATGTCAAACCTCGTAAGAATGCTTAATGTGTGTGTTATTGTGTTCTCAACTAACACCAAACGTCCGTTTTTATTGAAATATGGATAACTTGGATAAGATCTTCTTACCTTTATTCAAAATATTACCCTCGGCTGCTATGAGGTTTTTTTGGTAACTTTATTTTTCTCAACCTCGGTCAATGCATTTCTAGATCTCTCATCGGTCAGGAGCTATTTTTAAAAACTAGATCACTGGATAATATAATGCAAGAGTTTTGATTGGCTTAGCCTTGATGGCATATGAGCCATTACACCATGCTCTACAAATATGGTAAACGTATGCGTGTTTTTTTTTTTCTTTTCTTTTTTCTTTCTTTTTCTTTTTTTTTTTTTTTTTTTTTGACGTTTTTATTTGATTTGATTTGATTTTGATTTTAGTTTTCTTTATTTTGGGGGCGTTTTTAATAATTAAAAACAATTATTTCACTCGCGCTTGTTGCACATGAGATGGTTATATTTCATATCCAACGCGCACTCATGGAATAATTTTGAAGCAACCGTTTACATCTTTCACTCCTTATGTGATCAATAGTTATTCGTTATTATTTTATAACAGAGCTACAGAATGGAAGTTTAAAGCGGCCGTCACACGGCAAACTTGAGTTGGCAAACTCGTGTTGGCAAACTTCAAAAAGTTGGCAAACTCGTACCTTCACACGTTAATCTCGCGTCATTTCACAACACACGGTAATTTACAACATGACCGACTTAGTGTAGTGGCACTCACCTACAACAGTGAAACAGAAGAAGAGAAGAGAGGAAACAGAGACCGGTGGAGAAATAGAAAGGTTTGGAGGAAACCCAGTTTGTCCGCTAGCTCCTCCATTTTCTTTTGTTTGTTTTTATGGTATCTTTGTAGACTACAGATGAAATGCCCCACACAGCCGGACAATTGTGAACCTCTTCGATAAATTTAAA